GATCAGAACTATTTAGGAAACTTTATTAGAGTAAAGGATGATGTTCAACACTGACAATGTTTGAACCATCTCGGAAAAGCAATTGTATCCTTTATGTTTGGAACTCCCAAAACTACCTTAAAGTGAAAGGGTTTTTGATATGAATGAGTTTCACGATCTACCTGCAGAAGTCTATCGAAGCCTACTCCAAAACCACTAGAAATAGGTTTACCTCTGTGACGGAGCTCCGTATACCTAGAAAACTCAAGCTAGCTTGCATTTCGTAACATTTCCTACCAAGATATATCAACTCCTCGTAGTTTCAGTTCTTCAGGAGAGCTTTCACGTACAGAACCGCCTGCCACTTCTCCCACTAAGGGACACAGAAGATCGAAGGACTCCGTCTGAACAAAATGGTTAGGAGAGTTCGGTTCCATTTAACTCACTGTCAACCCATCAGCAGATCGTTTCATATAAAATGGTTTCTGATTGGTTGGGAAATGAGTTATAAATACAGGGCTTCTGAAGTATTCCACCTCAAAAACAGAAATGCATTGCAACTATAATTCAGAACTAACCAAGTAAAGCTCGTTTTTCTTGCTCAAGCCATTACCATCGACAGGTTTTTTGTTCTTGATCAAGAGATCAACAGCTTCTTTATAAGTGATCCTAGGATAATTGCCATCTCCTAATAAACTTTTGACTAAAGCTACAGTATCCTATAAGATATAATAAATTACTAGAACAAATTGAGCTCTCACTTCTGAAGAGAAGGAAGATATCGCGTCTCTATCTACTTTGAACGCAGGGTTCGTTACCATAGTTTGAGCAGAGTGTTTAATATATCCTTCTACTAAATCACAAATTTCTTCTAAACTCTGAACGAATCGTTATAATCAGTAGAACTGTGGAAAACTTACATCACAGAAGGCTTGTTCTACTTCAAGCATACGAAACTCAGAAAGATGAGCACTACTCTGTTGCTTTTCGGCCCGAAGACCGGCGTTTAATGAATAAACTCTACTGATACCACTATAAAACAAAACATTGGAACTGTTCCAAAGTGTTTCCTCACTTGCACATCGCCTCCAAATGAAGCTGTCCACTAACACTCAAGAAGACATCATCTTTTCCAAAAAACGATGATTCTCTTGTTCCTGCCTGAAATAAAAAGTGAAGTCGCCAAGTGATGAAGAACAAACCGACACAGTGAAGGTTTCTCCAGCTCCTTCGCAATCGTTCGCTGTGAATATTGGAGTGTCGATATGGTAGAAGTTCTTGTCCTTTAAGTTCATATTACTTTTCGAAGAGAAAGAGGACCAAACCATGAAAAATTTGTGTGTCTCCATGAACAATCGAGATCTGAGTCTCAGCAAAGCAGCAAACTCTGAAGACTTCGGACGCAGATGTATTTTCTTTCTGAGATTATCAGGGGAAAGGGTGGCATACCTAGGCTATAAGTCCAATCATTACAAAAAGAGATATTAACTTACATCTTTATCATTACTCAAAACGACGCAAGAACTCGCAGATAGTTCTGCCTCCTGAAGATTCCCTGAGCTTTTTGTCCATAACCCAGTTACTTCTATTGCAGATCCCATAGAAACTATAAAGTATCTTTTATCATAGAAACTCTTCTAAACTCAATTTACCTGAAGAGCAAACATTCTTGGGAACTACAACTTGAACGACTTCAGATGATAAGCCATCATTCAGATGTAGAAAACTAAACTGTCCCGTCTTGTGAGACTTCACAACCCAACCCTGCAAATTAATAGCAAAGCTGTACGAAATTCAATCACTTACATTAAGAGTTACAGGAGACTTCTCTGAGAAATCTGTTGTTCTCAGTATATCTTTGATAGGAATGGATCTCCCACTGATTTTCCTAATAAAACTTCGACAAAGCATGAAAAATAAGTTTTTATTTTAGACTGATATAAGCTACTAAATTACACGCGCTCTAATGCTAATGCGCTTGGATTCCTTTAATGTTTTAAGATCTCTATTGTTCATGAAACCTGTAGCTCTTAATAAGTGTAAGTGATTGAATTTTGTACAGCTCGGCTATTAGTAGGCAGGGTTGGGTTATGAAGTCTCTTAAGACAACGATCTCCTGATGGGTTGACAGTGAGTTAAACGGATCCGAACTCTCCTAACCATTTTATTTAGACGGAGTCCTTCGATCTTCTATCCCTTAGTAGGAGAAGTGGCCGGCGGTTAACTACGAGAAGTTGATATATCTTGGTAGGAAATGTTAAGAAATGCAAGCTAGCTTGAGTTTTCCAGGTATACGGAGCTCCGTCACAGAGGTAAACCTATTTCTAGTGGTTTTGGAGTAGGCTTCGATAGACTTCTGCAGGTAGATCGTGAAACTCAG